ATACATCGAACCACAGTTGTAGCCGTTCCACCAGCGGTTCATACCTGTCCGTTTTCCAACCTACCCCCGCCCTGGTCGCGGCTCAAATCGTCATCCCTTTCCTTCCAAGTAAGTCAGATCCTGGAATATTCTTAAAGGATTCTCACCTTACGGTTCTAACCCAGCTTCTCCTGTTGGCAGTAAGACGACCCGGTCATCAGCTCCAGTATTCGCTTCCTGACCCCCCCCTGACTTCAATAAAACTTATTATTGTACACTTTATCGATCTCTTCTGTTTGTGTTCTTGCATGTGGGTTCGTAATCTGAAACTCACCATGACAGAACACTCAGGCCATGCTACGACCTCCGCAGACGCGATCAGAAGAGCGATATCGGACCAACACGCACTCATTCAGTCCCACGATGCAGCTCTGAGAGAGCTGGGGAATCGCCAAGCCGAAACTAACCGACGATTAACTGAACTCTCCAATTTCCTACAGAACTCAGTACCACAGGACGCTAACCAATCTTCTGCTTCCCCATCTGCTCCGTCAGTAGTCCCGGATCCGCCCGTCCGCTCCGGGTTCTCTGAGGTCCGCCCGGCAACTCCAGATAAGTTTTCTGGTGACATCAAGAAGGTAAAAGGATTTGTCCTCCAATGCACCATTGTCTTTAACCATTCGCCACAGAGTTTTCCCAATGATGACAGTAAGATCTCTTATGTATTATCCTTGTTGACGGGGCGAGCCTTAGAGTGGGCTGAAGCCCGGTTTACCACAGCAACTAATTATGGATGTTCCTACCCCGAGTTTCTAACTGAATTGAAGCAGGTTTTCTGCCAGGAAACTGAAGGAACATCCTCCTCCAGAGACTTGCATGGGCTAAAGCAGGGTCAGAAGAGCGTATCTGATTTCGCCATAGACTTTAGAATCAAAGCGGCAGCATCTGGCTGGAACATTATAGCTCTCAAGAGCGCCTTTTTTCATGGTCTAAACGAACAGATAAAAGATGAACTAGCCACGCTGGATGAACCAGAGTCCTTGAACGATTTCATAAACCTAGCTATAAGATTGGACAACCGAATCCGTGCTAGAGCCAGGGAACGCACCCGTCGAGTCTCTTCTCCACGCGCCTATCTAACCAGTAGTCGTCCTTCTGCTCAGTACTCACCTCCTTCCCTTCCAGCCCCAGATGTTG